GATCTTGCTTTACGGTGAACTTGCCACTGGCTGCAGCATGAGAGGAGCCCCGAAGAAAAGATACAAGGACTCCCTGAAACAACATCTCAGCCTTGGCCATATTGATCACCATAACTGGTCTACTCTGGCCTCAAATCGGGAGGCCTGGAGACACACCATCTATAACGCAGCTGTCTCCTTTGAGAACACACGCAGGATCACCCTCGAGGAAAAAAGGCAACGCAGAAAGAACCGTGTATTGCAGAATACACCATCTAAGGAGTCTTTCTGCTGTGCCTTTTGCAATCGGATTTGTCTGTCACGTATTGGCCTCATAAGCCACCAGCGTGCCTGCAGCAAATGTGGACAGAGCCTTCCCAAATCTTCGTTCGCGAAGCCTAGCCATGATGATGATACAGACCGCACAGAGCGGGGAGCCCGGTTTCGGCCACATCCTTTTCCTGACAGGAAGTTTTTTTCCCCATGGGACACCTCGCGGAGAACGACGGAGAGAGAGAGAGAGACCGACCAATCTCAGAGCGAGGTATTCTGCCTTTGGGACTGCCTGTGGGAAAAAAGAGACTTCTTCATTGCTGGCTGCGAGCACACGTGGCTCTGAGCGGCTGTTGAACTGCCGCGACAGTCCTGCCTTTCCCCAGCCCCTCCCCGGGTTGCGGCGGGTTTCTCCCCTCCACCTGAGGAACTGGGACTTTGTTTTGTTTCTTCTGAAAGTTTTTGGTTGCACCATTTGTTGTTTATTCAGATTTTGTTAATAAAAAACTGTTATTTTCCTTTTCCACACTTCCACCTAAGCGTCTTAATTTCTAAATTGTAATCTTGTTAAACTAAGACAGTGGGGACCCCCAAAAAGGACAGGGAGGGGCCCTAAAACGTCAGAGAACCCGCCCAAAAGTGGGTAGGGATCCGCAAAATAGGGAGGGGTTCCAGAGGGGACACCAATAATGTCCCCACCCTGCATTATGGGGGTCCTGGGGACCCTCGCTTTCTGCCCCTCTCATGACACAGCATAGGGGGGCCTGATCACCTCACAAAGCTTTTAAAGAAAAGAGTAAAAAACCCAAAAATCCCCACCCAAAAAAGTAAAATAAAAATAAATACAACTAAAAAAAAAATAAAAGAAATTAAAAAATAAAAACAAAAGAAAAAATGAAATAAAAGATAGGAAATAAAATAAAATAACAGAATTGAAAAATATATATAATAAAAAAATCATGGCCAGGCTTCGCAAACAGAGATTTAGGAAGGCTCTATCCACATTTATTACAAGCTCACTGGTGGCTAAAAAGGCCAATACGAGATAGACATATCCGATTGCAAAAGGCACAGCAGAAAGACTCCTTAGGTGGTAAATTCTGCAAGACACAATTCTTTCTGCAATGTCTTTTCTCCTCAAGGGTGATCCTGCGTGTGTTCTCAAAGGAGACAGCAGTGTTATAGATGGTGTGTCTCCAGGCCTCCCGATTGGAGGCCAGAGTAGACCAGTTATGGTGATCAATATGGCCAAGGCTGAGATGTTGTTTCAGGGAGTCCTTGTATCTTCTCTTCGGGGCTCCTCTCATGCGGCAGCCGGTGGCAAGTTCACCATAAAGCAAGATCTTAGGGAGGTGGTGGTTGGTCCTTCATCCTGGAGACGTGCCCTGCCCAGCACAGCTGTGTTCTCAGCAACATGGCCTCAATGCCTGTGACTGCTGCTTGTTCTAGAACAGATGTGTTGGTCACATAATCTGACCAGTGGATGTTTAGGATTGTTCGGAGGCAGCGTTGATGGAAGCGTTTGAGGAGTCGCAGGTGGTGGCGGTAGACGACCCATGATTCAGAACCATATAAGAGAGTAGACAGAACTATGGCTCTGTAAACACTGATCTCTCTACTTTTCCTCAAGTGTTTATTATGCCATACTCTTTTATGGAGTTTTCCAAAAGCACTATATGCCTTTGCTAACCTGTTGTCTATCTCTGCGTCAGTCTTACCATCCGAGGAGATGAGGCTGCCTAGGTAATTAAACTGCTGGACTGATTTGAGCTCTGATTGGCCAATGGTGATGTGGGGATGATGGGGGATTTCCTGAGGTGCAGGTTGATAGAGAACTTCTGTCTTCTTTAAGCTGACTTCCAGCCCAAAGAGCTCAGCAGCATCTGCAAAGCAGGATGTTAAACGCTGAAGAACTGCTTCTGTGTGGGCAACAAGGGCGGCGTCATCAGCATAGCAGCTTTATAATAAAAAAATAAAGAATATTAAAAGGAACGGACGGGAATCGCTGCTGCTGCCGCCTGGTGGTGACCTCGGGGTACTGCGCGTGCGCGATGACTCGCGCGTGACACCTTGTGACTAAAAGCGGTACTGCAGCAGAGTGGTACGCATGCGCACTTGCTCCACCAAAGCCGAGTGTCACGTGATAAGAAAGGGCAAAATGGCGATGATTTGGCGCATGCTCAGTAACAAAAGGATCCAATGAATCACGTTGTGAGAGAAGGCAAGGCAGTGGCTTTCGCGCATGCGCTGTCATTTGCAAGACGCCCTCGGTCACGTGGTCACTAAGGGCGGCCCTGTACAGATGACGCATGCGCAGTGACTTTGATGACTCTGCAGTGCTGCCTGCTGATACAGGGGCAGCACTATAGCGAAGGGACCTGCGCAGTGCCTGCCGCGGCTGTCCTTAAGTCCCTCAGGTCGCGCGCGCACCGAGGGGAAGGGCAGCGGAGAACGGCAAGCAGGCAGCGGCCCAGCGGAGCCCGCGGGGAGGGCGGCCGGGCCGGCACCGAGCGGGGAAGGAGCGGCCGCGATAGGGCCTGGCCTGTTCCCAGGGCTCGCCGGGACCTATGATCTCCCGTCTCTCCCGGGGGGGGAATAAAATGAACATTTTGAGATAAAGCCGCGGAAATTAGTGAGGGACATTCTGAGGGTAAAATCGGGGACCGGAAGTCAGGGCAGTCCCCTGAGCGAAAGTCCTCCAGTGCCGTACAAAAGATGGCGCCCCCCGGACCAGAAGTCCTCCAATGCCATACTAAAGATGGCGCTCTTTGGCAAGTTCTCTAAGGCCACACTAAAGATGTCGCTGCCCGGACCGGAAGTCCTCCAAGGCCACACCAAAAATGGCGGACGAGGCCCCCTCGCCTTAGAGAGGCGTGCCTCCGCTTGCCTGAGCTCCACCCCGTCCCCGACCCCACCCCGTGCTCGTAGCGCCGTCTTGGCGCGGTGCTTCCCACTGTGGGGACAGGGTGGGGCGCTCGCTGGCGCCGGGCGCGGGCGGCAGGTTCTCGGGCGGCGGCGGCGGGTTCTCGGGCGGCGGCAGGCACCGGCTCGGGCAGCCCCAGTCGGGGACGCGGCTCAGGCGCGAAGATCCCTGGCAGAGCGCGGGCCCGACGCTGAGGAGGCTCCGCGGCCGCGCTCGGCGCCCCTATCCCGTACTCTCCCGCCCCGTCCTTTTCCCGTCCCGCTCTGCTCCCGCCCCGCTCGGTCCCGCGGTGCCGTGGCGATGCTGTCGGGGCTGCGGCGGTTCCCCCCCCGGAAACGGCACAGGGCGGCAGATACAACGTCAGGCTCTGCAGGAGCCCTGGGGTAAGCAGGGCCCGGCGGGGACGCGGCCGCTCTTCTGCCTCTCCCCTGGCAGAAGAAGTCCCCTGGGGACAACAGGCAGTTTTCTTGCCTCTGGGGAGCCGCATCTGCATCCCGCTGGAAGGAGAACGTGCGGAGAGAGCGGCAGGCGGGAAGACCGTGTTCATATGTGCCCTGGGATTCCAGTTCCTCGGGGGGGGTCTGTGCTGACTCAGGTACAGAGGAAGTGTATCGTGGAGTACCCGTTTGTTCACCCGTTGGGCTCGGAAGAGACACAAGGGACATGAAATCCCAGGGAAACTACGCTTGCTGTAGGGCCTGGAGTGAGAAGCAGCCGAAGCTGTTTGCTCTTTGCTCGTTCCCGAGCTTCCCCTCAGTTCCCTGGGACTCCAGGTAATCATACCTCATCTTGGCTTTGCCAGGGGCCTTGCTGAAGAGTTTCGAAGTGTGGCACTGAGATTTTCTGTAGTTGGAATTGATTTCTCTTTCAGGACACGTCTCACTGGGCAGTCTGTGTTTTAGCACTTCCCAGGACAGGATAATTGCAGTGGAAGCCCAGAGCCTGGACTAGGAAGGCCCAGGCCTCTGCCAAGCCTCTGCCAGCCTTTGCCCAGCCAAGCTGCTTGGTGTTGATTGTGCCTAGTGCTGGTGCCACACTGTCTGCTCAGAGCTTGTTCCTTACCGTTCAGTTCTCAATAAGAGGGGAGCAAGAGGCAGAAGATCCCACTGCTACTGGGGCTGAACTGTCTGCAGTGCCTGGGGGCTGGGCAGGTCTTGGCCCCAATGCCTGCATTGCTCTGCAGTGGCCGGGGAGGGATCCCAAAAGTCATCCCCCCACGTGCTGTGCTGCACAGCACAGCAGGGGCTGGGTAGGCCGGTTCCCGGCCGGGGGACCCCAGGGGAGGCCGTGGTGGGACTGAGGGGCTGCTGCTCTCTGGTGATCTCTGGGTTTGCCCTGGAATCCCAAAGCCTCTGCCTGCGTGGGGGGATGAGACAAAGGTGACTCTAAATTGCTTTATTGTTTAGTGTTCTGGTGCTGAGTTAATGCTTTTGGCTTGTTCTCTGTCAATTCCCAGCCTCACTTAGGGCTTCCTGTGGAGCATGAAGTGCTGCTGCTGCCGGGAGAAAGAAATCCTTTGGGAAGCTGGGATACAAACAGCAACTCTGTGAATTGCTCAGCTTTTCATAGGTAAGAGCAGGTTTTAGGGAAGAAACCCCTCTAGTGAGTAATCAGAACAGAAAGGTGGAAGCCAGGAGTCTTTGACTTCCGCAGTGCACGTAATTTTCTTGTGCTCCTCTCTTTCAGGACAGGAAAAATCATTGACTTGGGTCCAGCGATGCCAAATGCGTTGGGGTGTGAGCAGCCAAAGGCAACAGGCTCCAGCCCCGCTGACCAGCACTGGGGGCACCTGGTCCTGCCCGTGGGGTGGGGTAAGTCAGAGGGACACATTTCTCTTCTCCTGGCTGTTGGCATTAGCTCTCTGGGAAATGGCTCTGTTTCCCACTCCAGGCTGGTCTTTGCCATGTGTGCTGGGAAGGGTCAAGAGGAAGGGAAGGGGCAAAGGGCCAGGTGAATGTGGGGTCATAGAGCTGTGGGGTTGGGCTGTGCTGAGAGGGGCAGGTCAGTCCCTGTTGGTGAGTCTGAGCATTGGTGTGGGGGTTCAGGAGGCTGGGGGGCCAAGCTCGGGGAGTGTTTGCAGCTCTGCCAGGGATGGAGTTGACACAGCGCTGGGGGAGAGCCTGGAGCTGGGCTGGGCCGTGGGACAGACGCAGGGGAGCCGTGGGAGGGTTTGGGACTCCCTGGAGGGAAAGGAGGGATGGATGGGCTGGATGGAGCCACGGGCTTGTGCTCGTGGGAACACACTTGTCCAGGGCGCCAGGATCCGGGTCAAACTCCAGTTACCCTCGTGTCCAGGGATGCAGAGTCTGAGGGATTGGATTTCCCTGTGGGTTTGCAGGACACCAGGAATGAGAGGAAATGTGGTGCCAGAGCTGTGTCCCACTGGGTTGTGTTTCCCTCTGAGGACAGAGAGCCTGTGGGCTGAGGTGAGGTTGCTGTGAGTGTTGGGATGAGCAATGCAGGGAACAAGGAGCTCAGAATTCCAGGTGCTGATGGAACCATTGCCTTAGGTGTGTTTAGTTTGTGTCTGTGGGAGCTGGGATTTGAGCTGGAGAGTTGTTGTTGGGAACAAAGGGTGAAGTAAACGTGTTCCACGGATGTGTAAGGATGGACTGAGAAGCAGGGAAAGGGAGTATTTCTAAACTGTATGAATATTCCCCCAGATGTGGGATGGAGCAGCGATGGAGGTGATTGAGTTTGTCCTGGGCCAAAATTCTCTTGAATGTTTTCAAGCATAAGTGGGAGGTTGCCTTGCCCTTCCCCAAAGCGCTGCAGGCACATGGGAGTAGCTCAGTGCTGGCCCAGTTCTGAGATATAACCATGTGGGAGAGGTTTAAGTCTTAATGACAACACTATTGTCTCTTGATGGCAAAGACTGGGCCTTACAGTCCCAGCCTGATGAGGGAGGACAGGAACTTCTGTTCTTCATGGCAAACCTTCTGTTACTCCTTATGCAGTTTTTTCTTTCCGTCGTAGGAGTTGCTGTCCAGAATCTCTCTGACAAAACCTATTGGAAAGTTAGAGGTAGGATTTGAATTTGGGTCTATTCCCTACAAAGTCCTGCAAAGCATGAAAGTCAGGGTTGATGACTGCTCTTAACAAAGGTTTATTAATATTCCGTCAGATTTCCCTCAGCTCTGGGCAGGACAGGTAAGGGTTAGGGTCGGCAATTGTGCAAGTAAAACCTGTTGATTTCTCCTGTGCGTGTGTCAGTTTGGCAGGGCTGGGACAAGGAGGACTCGTGCGAGCACCTCCAGAGACAGCGGGAATGGGAGCGTGCTGCGGAGAAGGAAAATTCCAGGTGATGAGTGCTGAGAAATTTGTACTTCCCGTGTCCTGTGCTCTGCACTTAGTTACGGGTCAGCTGCAGAAATTTCCTGGGGACCCTGGGAAATGATCCCTGGTCTGCTGAAAAGTGGGAGAATCCTGCTGTCAAAATGCAGCCCCTGAGGGGGGGCCCAAAAGAGCAGACCTGGGTATGCAAGTGTGGGAGAAACAAGGGAGAGAGCAATGTCTGGGTCATCCTCTGCGTCCAGGAGGGAGAGCACCAGCAAAGGCCATGGACTAAACCACTGAAGGTGCTGTTCCCCAGGGAGCCCCTGCACAGCAGTGAACTTCCTTCTGCACTTGCTGTCCCTTTCCCAGCGGAGCTGAAGCGTCAGGTGCAAGTGTTGCAGGGATGGAGCTGCCAAGGACAAACTGGGAGGGTGTTTGCGAAGCAAGGGGGTAGAATGAAGTCTTCACTTGCTTTATTTACCTCATTCCACAGAATTGGCACGAGAGGAAATACCTCAGAGGGGCTTACCTCCAAATAAGCCCTGAATATCCCAGGAGGTTTCAGCTGGGAGAAAGAAAACCACCCTAAAAATAGCCAGTGGGGATCATCAGGTTTTCCAGCCAAGGAAAATAAGGACAGCGATGAGGGAGTAGTGTTCCAATTAATAATGATTTGATGGGAATGAATTCTGTATGTTTTACAGTCCTTTTTATTCCTGGAATGATTTTAAAATTATGGCCAAAACAACTAATTTGGAGATTTTGTTTTTGAGAGGAAATGACACAAAATAAATGCAGGGAGAGAGTGTGGAATCATCCTGGCATCCTGGAGTGGTTTGGGTTGGAAGGGACCTTGGGGATCATCTCCTTCCACCCCTTGCCATGGGCAGGGACACCTTCCACTAGACTGTCCAGCCTGGCCTTGGACACTTCCAGGGATGGGGCAGCCAGAGCTTCTCTGTGCAAGCTGTGCCAGGGCCTCCCCACCTTCCTAGGGAAGAATGTCTTCATGATGTGCGATATTTCCCTTTTTTCTCTGCAGGAAGTGGGCTGTGACAAGGGGATGTCCTCCCACTAGGCTGAGGATCAGGGTGGGCTCTGCCCAGGGGATGACTGCCACTGCTGGACAGGGAAGAGCACCTTTGCCCCCACCCCCGGCAAACTGGGAAGGAGTAACATCTGCCTGCAGCTGACTGGAGTTCCTGTTGGCTCTGGGCTTTCTGTCCACGGGCCGGGGATCATGGCCAGAGTCCTTCAGACCTGGGGAACAGTGGCCTTCACACCATCCCTGCAGCCCGTCCAGCGCAGGCTGTTGCTCATCGGCCCCTGATCGCAGGTGGGTATGGAAGTGATGGTGTTAAGGGAATGCTGATTGTATTTCCCTAACTTTGGCAACGCAGTCATTAAAAAGAGAAAAGTAACAAGTCTATGGAAATCCCCCGCACTTGGGAGCTTCTGATGCTCTGGATTAAATCTTGGCTCTATAATGTTAAAACTGTGGGCGAGGGGCGGTGCCGGACGGGGCCGGCCCGGGGGTCCCTTCCCCGCGGGGTCGCAGCCGCGGGACCCGCCCCCGCCCCGCGCGGCCCCTCCCGGCGCGCCCCGCCCGTCGTTGGGGGCTGCGGCCGCTCCCGGCCCTTCCGGCACTGCCGAGGCTGCCAGGGAGGGACCGGCCTGTGCTGGGGGCAAGGGGGGTTGTTCCTTGTGTTCGAGGGCGGCAGCGGGAGCGGCGTTGCGGGGCGGGACGTGCGGGAGGTGTCGGGTGACGGCGGGGAAGCCGCGGCGGGGCCCAGGGGCTGCAGTTCTCGGGGCTTAGTGGGAGGAGCTGGGAGTTGGCACCGTGCGATTTTGGGGTGTTTTTTTCCCGCGTTTTTGGTTTCCTTTTCGACCACTGCGGTGCTGGGCAGAAAAGGCTGGAAAAGAAAGACGGGGAGTGGCTTCCCGACTCGTTTTGGAGACATTTGCCACCTTCAGAGGAGGCACAAATTCCCGCGGAGCTGAGCAAGAGGTGCGGGGAGTGCAGCTGGGTGCAGCGAACTGGGGCAGGGCTGTTACCAAGGGAGGGTGTGCGCAGTGCCCCAAAACCCGCACCCAAAACAGCTCAGAGCCAAGAGCTGCCGGCTGGCGCCGGCTCCTCTCCCAGCGCCTCTTACCGCGCGCCCGTTGCGCGCGCGCGCCTTCTGCGCCCGCTTTGAGCACGCGCCGCTCTGTGGCGAAGTGGCGGTCGCGGGGGTTGCAGAGGACGCCGCGGGACCGGCAGTAGCCGGCGGTGTGCGGGCGTCCGGGGGGCTGCAGTGGCTGGTTGGGGCTCGGCTCGGCTCGGCTCCCGGAGGTGGCAGGGCTCACTGTGGAGCGCTCAGTGCCCGTTCCGTGCGGGGGCTCGTCGGTAACTCCCCTCTCGGGGAATGACCCGTCCTGCGGCTTCTCCTGTCCCCAGGTGGGAAGGAGGTAGCACAGAGCTTGCGGACAAAGCCCCCGTGCAGGGCTGCGCTCCGTCAGCAGCGGCTGGCAGTAAAGTAGGGAGGTGCACTGGAGTGGGCGCGGCGGCAGTCACGTCTAGGTCGGCACGAGAAGCGCCGCCGAGCCAGGGATCAGCTGCCCCAGCCAGCCTCTCCCGCGGGCAGCTCTGTTTTCTGTGCTGTTGGTTGTTGAAGCCTCTGCAGAGATACAAATGTGGCACAGACACCTCTCTGGAGGTGTGAGCTCAGCTCAGGACAGGGCGAGGTGGCTCGCACGGGCAAGGGCAGCCTCCTGCTGCTGCTGCTGCTGGACCGGTTTTCAACCCAAAAAGGGAGGGAGATTTTGGGGCTGAATCGTTCACAGGGATATGTCTGGTTGAACGAGGTGCATCACAGCAACATTCAAAGAGCCTCAAATCCTGGAATTTGGGTCTTTCCAGTGATTGCTCGGTGGAAGCTCTTTGGAGAGAGGGGAGTCACGGCAGGTGTGCTGTCCCACACTCGGAGGGCAGGCGGCATCGCTTCCACGTGTGCTCCCAGAGAACCTCCACCTCTCAGAGGCTGGGAGAGGGGGAGCGGCGGGCGGATTTCTTGGCTGCGCCTGGTGGAGGGAATCCCTCACCCTCCGCCTCGCGGCCTGCCGGGGAGAACCGGCACCCGCTGCTGCCGGTGCCCGGGTGCACGTGCCTGGCGTCCCGGCACTGCCAGATCCTGCCCGTCCGTTCCTTGTGGCGGAGCGCGGCCAGGGGAGCTGGGCATCCGCGGTCAGGGGCCGCGCTGCCGCAGGGGGGAGAGGTGGAGGGGCCGGCGGCCCCCCAGGTAAGTGCTCCCCTGCTCGCAGGCGTGCGCTTGAATAGCTGCGTCATCCCTTGGGAGCTGCAGCCTGGGAATGTGTGTTTTCCAACGCTTCGGGCTCCTGGCGTCGATGGGTACAGATGGGAACACAGGCATGGAAAAGGGGGGGGCACGTGACAAGGGAAAGTGTTTCGCTGTTACAAGGGACCTGGTGGCATGTTTTGTTGTGGATGTTGTTATAAGAGACCTGGTCCTGTATGTGCAATGTGTAACTGTGGACGTTGTTACAAGGTAAATGGTTCTTTATGCGGGATGTTTTAGTTCCGTTTCCAAAAGGCTTTGAGGGGAGAGCTGATGTGCTCCCCAAAAGTCTCTGAGAAGGGCAGTTCAAGCAGTGCCTATGCAGTTTTGGGATTTAGGCTTTTGTTTTTACATTTCTGTCTTCTCACACTTGTTGTAGCGTGTGCTTGCCATGAAAAGTCACTCTGCCCTGAGAATTCCATGCTTTGCTGTAAAACTTTCTCCCATCTCCTGGCTGGTTCCCCCTGCTTTTTTATTCTTGCCCCTTTCCCCCTCAGTTTCACGGGCCTGTACATCTTAAAACATTTAGCTGTGTATTTTTCTGGCCTCTTGAGAAAAATAAATTAACGACTACCATAAATAAGGAACTTTTTTTTTTCTTTTTTTTTTTTGTGCTTTGGTACAAGGAGCTAAAAATATTTTTAGAACACTGATTTTGTCAACGTGGTTGGTGACCACTAAAAACACTGAGCAGCCTCATTGTTCTGTGGTGCTTTTTCCTGTTTGTGCCATAGTGAGATTATCATGAAATAATTTGCCAGCATGTATCACACACCTTTGGTAGTGTTTGTGGGCCGAGGACATGTGTGCTGTGTTGTTCAGCTATTGCTGTATTTCATGTACAATCCTCTTTCAAACTTCTAGCTCAGGCATAAGCTGACTTTTTTCTTTTCTTTTTTTTTTTTTTTTTTTTAGGATTAAGTGTTAATAGAGTCCCAGAATGCTTTGGTTTGGAAGGGACCTGAAAGATCAGTTCCTTCCAGCTCCCTGCAATTGCGACTGCCTTGATGGTTTCTTCATGAGACGGAAAACTCCTTGGGCAGATGCCTTTGGGATTTCTGCTTTGCTGCTCCTCTCCATCCCCCGCCTGCTGCTGTGACACTGCCGTCCCATGGAAAGGGCTTGAGAGGGCTGTTTCCCACCCCCAGTGATCTCCTCAGTGAAGGAAAACAATGTGAGTCTTTTGGGCCACTGCTGGGACCCAGGGCTTGGGTAGTTCATCCAGGGAGGGGTTGAGTCCTGACACTGTGCTGGTTTAAAGGTAAACCGGCAGGGGAAATGAACCCAACTCAAAAGAGAGATTATAAATCAGAATAACAATTAAAAAATACAGTAAATACAATTATACAGACAAACAATTGGTTTTAACCCACAAAACCCAAACGTATAACCCAGCACCCTGGGGCGTGAACAGAGTGGTGTTCTTTGGGCCCCCTGAGTCCAAAGTAAAAGGAGAGGGAAAACCTGTTGGTGAGAGTGCTGTTGCAGTCCGGTCGAGAGTGGTGGTCACAGTCCTTCTCTGGATCCCACGAGTGGTAAAAAAGTCCCAAGACTCCAAGATTATATATATTCTCAGGTTCAGGCAGGAATGCCCAGTACCTGCCTCAGGGCAGGGAGTTCCACAATGGCTGTGAGGACAGGAGCATCCTCCTATATCGCAGGCCTCTTAACACCCAGCTTATAGCCTAAGAGGTCAGGCGTGCTCTGGGCAGGTGGTGTAAATGGCCTATTGATAACAGTTTCTGGGAAAAGAGCATGGAAGGCTATAGAATACACAGTTTTGGGTTACACCCATACAGTGATGAACTGGTCCCAGCTGTTCTAACTAGGACAGACACAGATTAGTCAGCTGGTAAGTGACTTCTTGTGTTATCTTTGGAACATAAACTTCTGTTTAATGGTTTGGGCAATATCTGTGTGTGGCTGATACTCATCCCGGTGGGTTCCCACAGCCAGACCTGCTCCCCATGTGCCTTGCCCTGAGCAGTTGTGCTCTCCTTGGCTCTTGCACAGCAGCAGCTTCAAGCTCTAATTGCCAAAAAACACTGAAATGCCTGGGCTGCCTTTGGGCTCCTGGGTGAGCCAGTGGCTGTTGGGTGTAGCTGCTGCATTTACTGTAGGCTTCCCTAATTCCCGTTTTCTTTGTGGGGTTCGTCTGTGGGAACCAATCAGCAAGGCAGGGCTCAGGAGGTGAGTTAGGGCAGGAGTAAAGGTAAACACAAAGACAAGGGTCATTCTTAGGATGCTTCTCTGGTTTTGTAGTTGTGGTTTCAATGTTGCAGGGTTTGCTCAAGAGCTGAGTCTCCTCCTTTGTGTGCAGGAAGGCTCCTCTTGACCAATATTTGCACAATTAGCTGCAGAGTAGCTACGCATTTGTCATGGTTTAAGATCCCCAAAATTCTAATTCCCTAGTCTAAGCCCCCTCCCACATCTCAACCTAATGTGGGATGATTTTTTTTCAGACAAAACACCAGACTCAAAGTGGGGGAAAAGGAATATATTACAATGACTGTACAAATAAATATTATAATACATTATACACACGATCACAAGTATCTCTACCATGATATAAGTATTTACAATGGATCAGATCTCTTCTCCCCTCCAAATAAAAGTCCAGGAGGGAAGAAGGACAGATCCCTTCTAGTCTCTGAGCAGTTTCTCTACGGCAGCAGTCATCTGTCCTCTTCACATGCATGCAGCTGATAGCTGGATTTCTTTCAATACACACAAGGGGATCTCCAAGCCCCTTGGCCCGTCGTCTCCAAACGAAGGGTCTTCAAGACACAAGGGGGTCTCCTTTCACCCCTCTTGGCTCTCCTTCGACTCCAAGCGAAGGTCTCACCTGTGGACTGCCAGCAGGGACTAAACTCGCTTCACCACAGGCATATCACAAAATGCAGGGGCATCTTCGTGATATGTCCCTTCCTCAGGGGCGTTCACCCCGGAGTCAGAACATCTTGGGCAGCATTCAGTTGCAAGCCTTTGCCTCAAGAGTTCTACCAGAGCTCCTGTGCTCTGTCTCAGGCTGCCACCTTGGCAGCAGTGGCGAGGGGGGGGGTGGAAGGCCAAGGTCACCCCCCTCTGCATTCCTCTCCGTCCCGGTCCAGCTTCCCAGGACGCTCTGAGCTTTTCAGCTCCTCTCTGCAGTGCATGTCGCACTTCACCCCTCCCTTCTAGGACGTGAGGGGTCTCCAAGGAGTTTGGGGGGTCTGGTTCAGTTCTTACCCCCAAAACTTTGTAGCTCTGCTGCTGACTCTCTTTTCTCGGCTCTCCTTCCAGGAGTCCTCTCTGCGGTGCATGCCGTTTGCTGTTTGGTTCAGTTCTTATCTGTCCTGGCTCTTAGCCATAGTCTCTGGACGCTGCTTCTGCTGCCGCTCTGTCTCTGCTCACTCACAGTGGAGAAAACTTTCTTAGCTCTCACCTGCAAGCAACTAGCCCAGCTTTATGCTGTTCCAGGTCCCCGCAGGCCCCCGCTGGGGGCTTGGGGGCCAAAGCCCCCCCCAAGGGGCTTCTGCCCTCTGCTCCTCGTGGCCTCAGAACATGGCTACCACTTCTACAACCAAACTACAACTCACCTTCTGTTCCGTTTGCCTGTGGTATGTTTACATCTCGCAGGAGCGCAGATTGGACAAAACTTCAAAACTTCCAGGGGTCACCACCCCCTGGGGTTTTACCATTTTCTTAGCTTCAGGGGGAAAACCTGGTTCAAACTACTAGAGCATTGCACATCTTGCAAAGCTGCTTTGGACCACAGCGCCAATAGTTTCTCTCCCCTGGTTTTGTGAGTTCCTCTGCATCCTTCACCTCTGCCTTTGGAATGGCTGTTGCTCAGTTGAATAGTGTTACCAGGTAAGGCATGGGCTTGAGAGAAATGGTGGCACTTCCTTTGCAAATGGTGAAAATGAGCACATGTTGAGGGCAGTGACTTTGAGAGGGCTGGAGGCAGTGCTTTTCTTTTCCCTTTGGGACTCTTGGTGAAGCAGACTGAAACTTTTCTGGCATTAGTGTCATGTCTGATGTCAAGGGTAGGTTGATAGGGAAAATAAACAGAAATAAGAGTAGTTCCTTTAAAAATACTTTGTGTTTTCCCCCGGTAAAAAAAAAAAAGGGGGGGGCCCATCAGATAGTTTGTTTTGGGCTTCTTTTGGCTAAGAACAAAGAAATGAGATAATAAAACCCAATGAACTGCAGAATTTGAGAGACAGCCAGAAGCACAACATGCCGTCTGTTCATTGTGACAGGGATTGTGCTGGTTTAAGAGTTAACCAGCAGGGGAAATGAACTCAACTCAAAGGAGAGATTATAAGTCAGAATAACAATTTACTAAAATAATACAGTAAGTACAATCATACAAACAAACAATTGGTCTTAACCCACAAAACCCAAATGTATAACCCAGTACCCTGGGGCATGAACAACGTGGTGTTCCTTGGGCCCCGCTTGAGTCCAAAGTAAAGGGAGAGGGGAAGAACCTGCTGGTGGGAGAGCGGTTGCAGTCTAGTCAAAAGTGGTGATTGCAGTGAGATGCTGGGGGGAGAGCTGTTGCAGTCTGGTCAAAGTGGTGATTGGAGTCCAGTATAGGGTGGTGATCCAAGTCTGTTTGAGAGCGATGAGCCGCAGTCCTTCTCTGGATCCCACAGAGTGGTTAAAAATGTTCCAAGACTCCAAGATTATATATCCTGCAGTTCAGGCAGGAATGCTCAGCACTTCCCTCAGGGCGGGGAGTTCCACAAAGGGTGTGAGGACAGGAGCATCCTCCTATCTCACAGGCCTCTTAACACCTAGTTTATAGCCTGAGGAGTCAGGCTCTATGGGCAGATGGTGTAAATGGTTCATTGATAACAGTTTCTGGGAAATGGCATGGAAGGCTATAGAATACACAGTTTTGGGTTACACCCATACCCTGATGAACTGGTCTCAGTTGTCCTAACTAGGACAGGGATGTCCATGTGTTTCTTTGGGATCTGAAATGAAGGGACTTGAGGCAGAGTTCTGTTTTATTTTCCCTGACAGAGGCAAATTGGAAATCATGTATTTATTATTGTTATTATTATTATTAGGCCATCTCTAAATGAGCTCGTGGTTGGTTTTTCTTTCTGGTTTTGCCTTCTGCTGTCCCTTCCATTTGCAGTCCTGCTCCCCTGCTGCCCACCTTGAACAGGTGCCTTTGGTACTGCCCTGGTCACTGGCGTGGTTTCTGTGACTGCACGGGGGGTTCCTGAGGGCCCTTCCAGCCCAAAGCATTCCGTGACTCAATGCTGAGCAGTGTGTGTCCAGTGGAGCCTGCAGTGGCAGAGGGGCAGCGAGTGGCACGGGGAGGCTGTTTAGGTTGAGGGATCCGCTATCTCTGCGCCTCAGGGTTTGGTGCCATACCCGGTGTCACCAGCACATGTTGCCCCCACCAAGGCTCCGCATCCCGGCTGTCGCATCTGCTGAGCGGGACGAGCAGAACCTGGCTCTCGGTTCCATCAACCAGAGGAGGGAATGAGCCCTGGTGCTGGCCATTGGGGGGACATTGGACTGGTGTTACCATCTGCTCTCTTCCCTTTTGCACTGTGTGATTCTGCCTTGATCAGAGAAGGTATGAAATGAAGCAGGAGGGGGAGCTCGTTTCCTTTCTGTGAGCTCCAGGCTTGAGACAGCTGCAGAGCAGCTTGTTTTCAAATATTCTTACCGAACACAGTCAACTTGAACCTCCCTTGGGCACCTTTGGATCCTTCTGTGCTGCTGCTCCTCTGCTCCTTTACCTGGGAGCTGTGGGCTCTGAAACACCTGGCTACTGGATGGGTTTTTACCTGTACAAGATTTTTTTTCTTAGAAAAGCAATCAGGTCCAATGAAAACATGTTCTGTTTACAAACCACACAGAAGCAGATGTTTTGGTACACTAGTTAATAGGATGCTTTGTGGAAGATGCCAGGAGGTAAATTAGTTGGTTCAGCTGGAGAATTGTGCCAGTTGGTAACATCAGTGCTCGGTGCTGATAATCCTGGACCGTTTTGTTCTGATGCTTAAAGCTTTGTGCCATGTTTTCTGTTGTCCTGCCTCTGTGTCTGCCTCTCAGTTAGTGTTTTCCACACTTTTAGCAACTCAGTCCCTCTTTGGGGAAATAAAACCTCTCTCACCTACCTCCAGTCTTTCTTTTGTGCAAATAGCAACTCTCTCAGTGTGCAAATGGCCACGTAGCCATGCTACCACATTTTTCTGATATGTTCTGCTAAGGAGCAAATAACTGCTGACAGTTCATTGACTGTCCTTATTTTGGTTTCGTTAGCCCCAAGTCGAGTGGGGTAGGGTAGGTGTCCGTGGGCTGCTTAGGGATTCCTTGGACAGTGGTAGACACTTAAGTGCTTCCTGGGCTTTTCCTGAACTTGTGATGGCTGCACACTCCAGTGGAAAAGACACAGAAGGCAATCTGAGACTGTAGAGATCAGTTCAGTGACAGCAGTGTGCCAAGTGATGTCTGCAGCATAAGCCTCTCAGACAGGTAAAGCAACACCTTCCTTTCTTGAGCATGGGCCTAGGAGAGGTTTAGGTCACCACAAGCAAGAAACCAATGAATTTTTGTTTCCCTCTTCAGACTTCTGCCAGCTGTGTACCATCCACAATGTCTGTTGCCTCGATAAATGTAAATGAAATTTGCTAAATCTGCCAGAAAAGCAAAAGCATCTCCAGTTTGTATGGCTGAAGATAGAACATGAAGGTGTACTAGTACACATCCTAGTACTGGGTGTGAATCCTGGTGGTTTGGGGTTGTGTGGTGCCTCTGGTCCTTCAGAAGTCGGGGCAAGGCTGAAGGAAGGAGGGAAGCCCCCATGGCTGCAGGTGAGGACAAGATTGTCTGTTTCAAACCTGCTTAGTCCAGAATTGGGAAAAATGGGAGAACAAGTTTTCTCCCTCTTTCTGTCCGGCACTGGGCAGAAGTTTAAGATGGTGCTGCACTGAGCTCTTTATTTTGTGGTATATGTTTTTTCCCTTGGTTTTTAATTTATTTCTAAGTGATGCAGTGAGGAGCAGAAATGAGTGTGTGTGTGTGTGTGTGTGTGTTTGCTTCCCAGCAAATCCAGATGTGACGTGGAAAGCATAAGTGAGGATTTCCAGCCTTGACTGCCCAGGCAGTCTGGAAAAGCTTAGTAGCTGAACAATAGGTATTTGTATCACATGTGCGTTTCTCTCTGGGGACCATTGAGTTCACTGTGTGTGAAAGTCGTCCCTGAAGAAGCGACACTGAGCAGTTTTTGATAATTGCAAGTGTAACGTCCTTAACATTCTTAACACAAGACAATATTAAGAATGTCTTTCAAGAGACCCATATGTGTTTGGGTGGCTTTGTACTCTAGACAGTGGATTTGTTAGACTGGCAGAAATGCTTGTCCACCTGGAAGTGTGCTGCCATAATCAATATTCCCTGCTTAAGAATTAATTAGTTTTTTTACCTTTTTTTTTTTTCTGTACAGATTGTGGATAGTTTGGGGAAAATATCTGTGATAACTAAATGAAATATGTTTAAGCATTTCCTTTCTAGAGGGGTGACTTGTTATTTTGTTATGAATCCTCAAGGAAATGAAACCAGAGTCTGATTTGCCATTGGGTCCCTGCAGTTCATAATCTGCTGGACCAGGTTTTTTTTGGACAAGATAGTTATTAACAAAGTGCAAACTCTATCTAAGATGAGCTAAATAGCTACAAAAGAGAAATGGTTTCCAAAGAATTGGATATCAGTTTTCTTTTGGAGTAGCTTTGCCTAAGGCAGGGATGCTCCAGTGTCTGCACCTTCTTCCAGCTTCTTCCCGCGAAGGTGCCACACGAGCACACGTCCCCAGAGCGCCAAACTTGGGGTGTTGTGTATGAAGTGAAAAGCAAAGCAGCTTTCCTCCTCTGCAGTACCTCAAGGTTTACAGTCCTGTGCCAGGCAGTTGTTCTGAGCTGCAGTATTTCCCTGTGCCGAAGCCGAGGGAGAACCAGAGAACCCCCAGCCCACGCCAGAGACTAGACAGGATTTTCTGCCCAGCCCCCTCCAACCCAGTGAGGGGCAGGTTGGGAATGAGGTCCTGTGAGGGCTCTGTTGTGGTGTGGAAGTGGCTTTCACAGACACACTGGCAGCAGCTGAACGTCTGCCAAGGCTACTTTGCTTAAATGCTTTTGGTGTCTTGGCTGCACAAATCTTGGATGTGGTGTGAGTGCAGATGTGCTCGAGGCTGGCAGGGCTTTCAGCGTTCCGTGTTGAGAGGGTAGGATGGTATGTTGGCACACGTGTCATGCGGGAGCTGGCACCCACCTGGGCCACATCCTCACCAAGTTGTGCCATCCTTGCCTTGTCAGTGTCACTTGGTTCCTATGCCCCCATTAGACCTATCTGGAGGTTTCCATCGATTGCTCCAACCCCTCCCAAGTCAGGGTTTATCTGCCCCAAAGCAGGCTGCCGGCCTGCAAGAGGTTTTTTTTTTCCCTTTGACTTTTTTCCTCTCCAAGTTTGCCATCATGCTGTGGAAGTTGCTCCTGAGAAACTGCTTCTCAAGTGTATTTCATCATTATTGCCTGAGTAACAAGGTTGGGAATAAATGCATTTGCTTTGACTTGATACCAGTTATGGATTATGTGCGGTTCTTTTCCTCTGCCAATTTGTTTTGGTAGCCTCTTCCTTTTTCATCTGCCATTCCCTGAAGTTTTGCTTTCGTTACTGCCGTGAAAGTTGCGTGCTGATTTTTACCCTGCTTTTCGAGCTGTTACCTTTGGGCAGGCCTCTTCTGAAGACCCCCCCAGAGGAAGTAAGGCACACTATAAATTCAACAGCCTTCTGCTTAGTAATGCTTTTCCCGATGAGTGTATTTTGGCATCTGAGGAAGGGAGTGGATGGTGACCGGTGGCTGCTTTCCTCATGCATGGGGATGGGAGCATGTGCCCACAATCAGGGCTCTTTTCTGACCGTCTTTGGTGATGAGTGGCATATGGTTAGAGAATTGCTGTCCAGATCGATTGTTCTGACCACAGAGCTCTTTCATTTTGCACTTAGGACTCAAGTGGTCAGGTGATTCTCCTTAACGCAGGGAGCAGGAGTGCTGCCTGTGGCATATATATTGATTTTTTGGCAGCAGTCAGTCTGGCAGGAGCCAGCCAGGCTGGACTCCACGGTGCGTGGGAGGACAGGACGCGACGAGGCCACGCGTCGCTGGCTCAAGCAGGGCCGTGTATCGGGAGTGGAGATGGCACTGCCTGTGTTCACCTGGTGGAACACCGGGATCTGCTGGGGGTTGTGCTGCGGGGGTTTGGGCAGGAGCTGTGTGGTGCCCTCAGCACTTGCCCTTGTGCAGTCCAAGGAAAGGGCGTTTCATTGCATTCCCAGGAACTGCTCCAGCAGCTGTAGACTTCCCCTTGCATTCTAAGGCTAAGGATGTGGTGACAGCAAGAAGACAATTGGTGGGATTGGAGACCATTTGCTGCATTTTGGTTAGATGTGTAACTTGAGTAATGCGTGTGTTTTCTAGGAAAAAACATTCCATAGTAGCAGAATGGTTTTCATAGACACCAAGTGAGTGCCAGGTCACACCATGAGCCTTCAGGCTCTGTAAGTACTGCCAGAGCCTTGGTGAAGCCTTGAAGCGTGACCCGACTGCCGGTGCTCAGTCTGGATCTGGCGCACGGCAGCCTTTGCGCCGCCTCAGTGTATCCCGGCAGCCTTTGTGCCACCTCTATGAGTTCTGGTGGGCTTTCTAAAATGAAAACTAAAATAAAGTAAAAAACAACCCCAAAATATACTAAAAAAGAAAATCCATGACAATCCAAAGGGAGCTCCTGAGTGGTACGCCTAGGCTGCCGAACTGTGCCGGGAGCTCCTCTGGCGGGAGGAGGGTGGGCAGTGGCAGCGGCCCTGCAGCCCCAGGCGGCAGCCCCGAGCTGGGCTGTGCCCGGAGGGGGCTGTGGGGCCGCTCCGGCCGCAGGACTGGGCAACTGCGGGGCTGGGGGTGGTGCTGGCCCAGCCCACTGCAGGTCTGTCCCTCTCTGCTGCCTTGCCGAGCAAAAGTGTCCCTGGCCGGCTGGCGGATGCCCCGCAGAGAGAAGAGCCCAGCCCTGGGAAGGCAGGAGACTGGGCTCAAGCTGCTCCGAACTGCTGTGGTGATCGATTTGAAGTTTTGGGATTGGTCGTTTCTGTCACTGCCTTACCATGGGTTCATTTAAAACAATAACTTAAGAAACCCTCGTCTGGACCGCAGGAACCACGAAGTCTGAAGTTCCCGAAGCAGCAAGAGCAGCAACAGCAACGGCAAAACTGCTGACCCGGAGAAACCGAAGTGATTAAAGGAAATTGCTGCAAATCAAGAAGCCAAACTTTAGAAAGTGACAGCCCTGAAAGGCTAGGTGGAGCAGAAAAGACTCAGCATTGGGAAATTAGGTGAGTTGCTGCTCGGGGAAAGTAGCCCATGATTTTTCATGAAATACAGTTCATGGAACTCTGAAATTTTGGGTGATTTCAGTGATTCACAGGAGTTATTTACAGTATTCTGGGCAATGTTAATTGGAACCATTTCACATCTTGTGTTCACCAAGAACACTCACGAATTACCTTGAACAAAATATGCTTTCTTACTGTATTTTAAAATAGGCCATGAAAGCACCCTATATTTGGAGCCTAGCATGTCTGCTCTTTAATCACAGTATAGGCTTTTTTCCTTCCTTGAGTATCTTTGTGTACCATAGTAACTTTTTCCATCCTCCGTGTCAATACCCTACACATTTAGAGTGTTATTTTCTTGGCCTATAGCAAAGCTTAGCCTGATACCCATGTTGCCTTTTATGCAAGAAGTAATTTAATGGCCACATTGGCAGCATATTTCCTTGTTAGTGATGCCAATCTGACCAGGGTCTGGCTTGCTACAGTCCTACTTGTGTGCTTGTAGGTCAGCACATTGATGCAATGTGAAACATTTATTTCAGACTTAATATCGACACATATTCTTCTGCCTACCTTTTCATCCTCTCTGTATACATATTGAGAAGAACTTGTTGTTGCCAGCCTGAGTCAAATGAAAATATATTGGTTTGTTAAGGGAAAATATAAATACATTGTTTTAGTAGGAAGCATTGGGCTTTACAGATAAAGCAAAGGTGGTTCTCTGTGGGGAGAATCTATTTTCTGTTCGGGTTCTACTGCACAAAATTAACATCAGTTTAAAGGCATAGAAGGATGCCTTTAAGATCTTGGATCTTAAAGACCTGGGAGCATGTGAATCTCTTTCCCTGCACCATCTCCAAGAGGTCTAGTCTTGGTACTCGCTGGAATTCTTACTGATTTCTCAAACTTTTGTTCTATACTAGAACAGTTCTGGCAGTGGGAGCAGCTGATGACAATTGTTTGTAATAGACCCTAAAAAGCCCTCCCAGTCTGTGTTTAATGAAACAGCTTGAGTGCTTTGTCACTGGCTTCTTAGGGCTTAAATCCAGAGTTTGAAATGATGTCTTGTGGTTGAGTGAGTGTCTTCCTGATGAATTTGGCAGGCATTCGGTGAATTTGGGCTTCTGCAGGTGAATTCAGTCTGGTGTTGTGCTTTTGTTTGTTTCCGTACTTGGGACAGTGAACCAAATGTCTTTTTCCCTCGCCGTCGGTGCTCTGAGGAGACCAAGTGTCCAGAATGGTGCCAGTGACTTTGCTTGTGCGCCTGCTGGGTGGAGGAACTGGTTTGGCTCTGTGTGGCCCTGCTCTGGAGGCCAGCAGGGCGCTCTCTGGGTGCCCTGCAGTGCTGCCCCGGGAGCAGAGCAGCCCACGCTGGGCTGTTCCTCAGGGCAGCTCTTGTGCTCTCTCTCGTCCTTTGCAGCGGAGGAGGCGGACCAGCTGAAGAGCCTGTTGCAGCCAAAGCAGCGCGAGCTGGTGCTGGCCGTGCTGAAAGCAGAGGAACCGCCCTGCCACCGGAGATGCTGAGGAAGGGCCGAATTGGTGGTTACCACGACAACCCATGGGCTGTAGCTGAGCTCCACCCACTGCCTGCCCAAGGAGCTGCAGGTAATGGAAAGCCAGCTTGTGACCCCCAACTCTTAAGGGCTTCAAAGACGGTTGGGTCGTTTCTGAGCTCCTTGGAAAGAAACGCCACTGCTCCTGTTCCTGCCGGACCCATGTGGCTTGCCTGCATGCTGAGGATGGAGGGGCGGTTGTGCCGAGTTCAAGGGAAAGGGAGGAAGGAGCACACTGTGCATATCCTTTTCCTTTCTGCACATTTGGAGATTAAGCAACTCCTGCAGATATTGGGGCTCTTGGAGTCCTGTGGATGCAGAGTAGGGTGGGGGCCAAGGGGCAGGAGGGCTTTGCAGGGAGGATGCTGCCCCAGAGGGACAGGCAAACACGACTTGTGCTCCGGGCTCACGGTGTCCGGAAACGAAAGCGGGGGCTCTGCAGGCGCAGCGGCTGCAGTGGGGGCTGAGGCAGGGCCCCCGCTCGCCACAGCCCCTCCTCGTGGGAAAGGCCCTGCTGGCCACAGACAGGCAGCAGGACCAGTCCCAGCTGCTCTGCAAGGCACGGGCCAGGCAGCTCTTGAAGCGCTGTGCAGAGCTCAGCCCACAGCAGACGCTTCCAGGAGACGCTGTTCTGCCGCGCCACAACCTTCTGCTTGTTGGGGACATGGCAGGGCATCCTCTGCTCCCTGAGGTGCTGTTACGACCCGCCCCAGAAAAAGGGAGGGGGGTAACCCAGGTTTTATCAATAATTCCCTTGGGGTGGATTAGAGTGAAACGACACTGAATAATTGGTGTCTGAAAACATATACTGGCAAGGTTTATTTTAACAATTCTCTATCAACAGGCATGCTAGCATTTCTGTGTTGTCATATAACAATGTGGCATAGAGATAGAAAATGCATAGGGGACAATTTTGCATCAACAGGTATGCTAGAATTTTAGGTGCTGTCATATAACAATGTGACATAGAGATGACCTTTGGGGGGGGGGAGAAAATGCATAGGGGAGAGAAAAGCAAGATAAGAGTAAGGGAAAGAAAAGCTGAGAATGGACAGATGTATATAGTCACCGCCCACGGGGTCCAGCGATGAAACTTGGTAGTTGCAGCTTCCATGTCAGTTGAAGTGGTGGCCTTGATCCGCCGGAGGTGAAAGAGGGAAGCCCCCACACTCCAAGAAGTTATGAGTTATTATATCCATGGTCAGTGTCACGGGCCATGCCTCGAGCCTCCAATCTCTCCCTGGGCCCTGCGCAAGAGCTGCTGTGTCTGGCCTGGTTCCCGCCCTTTTCCCGACTGCCAGAGGGGAGGATGGACTCCTATGGGCCATCAGAGGTCCTGCCCCTTCAATTGCCCATCAAACGTCAAAAGCCTGCGAACTCAGCTCTTGCTTTTTCAGGGCTTCACATCTTCAGCACTGGAGGGAGGGAGGGGCCGGATTGCTCATCAGAGGTATAATGCAAGTCAAAAGCCTGCAAAAGTCTCCTAGAATGCATAAATCATCAAACATTTCAGTCTCTGACAGGTGCATTGACAGTGCCCTGTCCAGACAGTGCTCAAGCACCACACAGGAACCACCCCTGGGGCGGGTGGTTCAGGGCTGAGGAAGGATCACCCTGGCCAAGGGCCCTGACAGCCCTGGGTGCTCAGTCCCTGTCAGCTCTCCTGCCCTGGCACCACCCTCATGCCCGGCCCCAGAGGTGTCCAGCTCTTTGGCCTGCCCTGAGGAGCCCCCGGGCTCACGGTGGTGCCCCCAGGGAGGCTCTGACATTGCCCCTGAGACACTACTGCAGAGACGCCAGCACTGCTACCAGTTCCACGAGCCCTCAGGGCCTACACAAAGGCAAGGACACAAAGGGACAGAGTGGAAGGGAGAAGATCCCAGAGCTGAAAAGGGCACGTCCTGCTGTAGTCCATTGCCAAGGTTCCCAGGAAGCAGCAGCCCTGACTCCCAGGCAGCAGAGGCAACCAAGGCTATGAGGGGCAGCTCTGGGGGCTACCAGGGCTCTGCTCAATGGGTCCTCTGAGCTCTTGGCTCCTGAACATCCACCTGCCTGCTGGGGGTGCCCCAGGTGTAGCAGAGATGGGAATAGATGACAACTGAGACAAATCACTTCCTGCTGCTTAAGCGAGTTCAGCTCAACTTGGAGCCTGGATCCATATGTCCACAAGGTTTCTGAATCACAAAACACCCTTTGGAGGCCAAGAATAATATTGCAGGTCTGTATAAATAAAAATGCAAACAAAGCAACCAACCACCAACTCACAAGAAAACCCAAAAACCCAATCCAAAACCCACAATAGAAGCATTTTATCTATTATCAACAGCTGGTCTTGGAGTTTCCTCAGCTCCTCTGAAGTCCTGTGAGCATGAGGAGCACTTTATTGTTGCTGGAATGGTCCACTGTTGACAACATTCACTGCTGTTTGAGTTTGGGAACACCCCACTTGGATACACTACTCCAGAGTGTAAAGGTCTCCGAAAGCACGATGAACATCGGAGCCCATTGGACCCACAACCCTGCGATTAATGCAACATTGATTTGTATGCTTTTGCTTGGACTGTGTTGCATTGATGGAACTGTAAGTTGGGGTCAAAATGCATACTTAAATTTACTCCAGGAAGTTACCCACAGTTATAATCTGTCCAAATGCTGGGTCTGCGCTCAGTTGCCTAAGAACTCACGGAGTAGATTCCCAGTTATTGGAACACCTTTAGCTATGGACGATATGAAGCTAACAGACTGACCAGGCTTTACAATTTGTATTTGAATTTGATCTTGACCCATTTGTGCCTAACAAAACCTCGGTTAGTTGTGTGCGACGATGTTCACAGGCTACTATTGAAGCCGGTAAAGGGGGAAATTCAGAAGACAAGGGTTGTGGAGAAACTCTATTTGTGGGGAAGTTTCCCTATTGTAATTCATATTGGAGTTATGGGGCAGCAAACGTGGAATAAAGTGCAAACTAGGAAAAGGGGAAAATCTACTGCTCTCAGAGGATGGCCTGTCCCACAAGGAAAAGGATGGTACTGGTTATGTGGGAACACTGCACGAAAGGTTTTACCTTTAGAATGGAAAGGTGAATGTACCTTAGGATCCATTTATCCACCCATTACCGTGATGGCCCAATTAGAAACAGGGTGGACCCAAACATTCCTTAAGCATTTTAAACATAGCCCAAACCCATTCGTCCTGAGACCGACTGCATTCCATAGCTTTGCCAGGTGGTTCTTACCTTGGTTGAGAGTAAGTGAATTGGAGAAATCAATAGTTAATCTTTCTGGCATAATGGAAACATTGTGGAATGCTACTGCAGATGCTATAGCAGCCCAGCAGTTAGAAATAAGCAGCCTTTCACAGGTAACTTTGCAAAACAGAAGGGCTTTGGACATGCTCTATGCCAAAGAAGGGTGTGTGTGCACAGTAATCAATAGCAGCTGCTGTAGCTATGTAAATCAACATAAATGTATTTCCACTGATCTGTCAGAAATATGGGAACAAACAAAAACCTTATACCAAATAACCCTAGCAGATACCTCATGGGGATTTGGAGAACTATGGAGTAAACTGACATGGTGGCTTCCTGATATTGACTGGTTGAAAAAATTGTTTTTTACCATTCTAGGAATTGGACTATTAGTACTGATGACCAGCATTAATGGCCCAGTGTTCCCTCTGGTGTTGTAAATGGTAAAAGCTTTACCTTACGGGGACTGGAAATGGAATGAAATAAGACACCAAGTTGAAACAGGAAAATATTTTAAAAAGACTCCAAATGGGAATAAGATGTTATAAAAGCAAAAGAATTTGCACTATTTTTAAAGAAAGGGGGGAGTTGATAAGGGAAAATGTTAAGTTGCCATTGATAAGGGAAAATCTTAAGTTGCCATGTAATTGACGTAGTTTAATAGGTGCAATTTTAAGGTTGGCATGCTGTTGCTAAGATAGCAGCCGTGTTGCTGGTGAGCAACCAATGGGGAGTTGCCCAGAGGCAGCCAATGGGAAAGGTGCATGATGGCGGGAAGGGGCAGCCAATGGGAGAGTGTGCAATGTAGCAAAATGTAGCCAATAGACAGCCAATGGGACACCGAGCGGACAGGCAGCCGATGAGGAGCTGTCGCCACGGGAAGGTGCTGAGGGACTGCGATGCTCTAAGAGCAAGGTGGAAAGTTCAGAGAGGAAGACTCTAAGCCTTCATCCCCTACGACCACCCAAGACGACCACCAGAGAGAAGTGCTCGGGTACCAGGAGGCGGGTACCGAGATTTACATAGAGCACCACCCATTCTTGCACAGGTTATGAATATGTAAAAATATGCAATGAATATGTATGAGCTAACTGGATAAAACAGAAGCTGTGATGGGGGAGCAGCACATGCCAGAGCTATCACCCGTGCATCCGGTGCTGTAATAAACAAATACCGGCTTAATAGCACCGTGGCTATTGGGTTTTACTACCACTGCTTTTTCTCATCATCAGTAGGTAGGAATGATTTGAGTTTTGTTACGCCTTTGATTCCCCTGAGGCAACCAGACTCTTCTGTGGTAGAATGTTTATATTTGTTAATGCTGAATTCAACCAAAGAACTGTATTAAGGAGTGGGAGTGGAAGTGAAGGGAGTCGCTGACTAATCTGTTGAACTCCTCCAATCACTGCCCCAGAAGGAGGGTCCATGAATTGTGCCTCTGGATCCTGGTTTGCATCCCATCTTTCCTACAGCTGTAAGACTCAAGGGGTGGGGAACATCCTGATCTACACAAACTGGTAACATCATGAGTAGAATAATGTGTTTGGTTTGTTCCCAACTGCGATGGACACTCTGGATTTTAATGTTATACCCTGTTATTATAATGCTGTTATTTTGCTGGCACTCATTATAAACAAATATATATATGAGTGTACTGTGTAACCCAAAACAAGAGGATACCAATCATTCAAAAAATACATACATTGATATAACAGTGCTTTTTTTCCAAAATTGGTAATTAATTCCATATGATGCTCTGTTTAATATTGCCAGCCATTAATATTTTTGCAACAACTTGAAGTTGTAATTGTAATATAGGCAGCACCCTTTTAAACTACAGTAAAACTTGGGAGATTGATGTATCCCAACTGTCTTAGTTTAACAAGATTACAACTTAGAAATTCAGAGACTTCAGGTGGAAGTGTGGAAAAGGAAAACAAACAGCTTTTTATTAGCAAAATCTGAATAAACAACAAATGGTGCAATCAAAAACTTTCAGAAGAAACAAAACAAAGCCCCAAATCCCCAGGTGGGCGGGAGAAACCTGTGCAACCCAGGGTGGGGTGGGGGGGGAGGCAGGACTGTCACTGCAGTTCAGCAGCTGCTCGCAGCCACATGTGCTCGCAGCCAGCAATGATGGAGTCCCTTTTTCCCACAGGCAGTCTTGAAAGCAGAATACCTTGCTCTGAGATGGGTCAGTCTCTCTCTCTCTCAATCATCCTCTGCGAGGTGTCCCATGGGGAAAAACTTCCTCTCAGGAAAAGAGAAAGAGGCAGCCAAGAACCGGGCTCCTGCTCTGTCTGGTCCCGGACCAAACCCCAAAAGCCCCCAAACAAAGGACACCCCAGCTGTCCCTGTGGCCACCGTGCTTCCCCGCAAGACCTCCCCTCTCTCCACTCCTGTGCTGCCCCCCACGTGCGGCCCTGCTCTGCCCCTCTCCCCCCCCCCCCCCCCCCGACTCTCCCCATTCTGGAAGAAATAGATGGGGGGGGTGGGAGTGGGACCCTAGGGAAGAGAAAGAAAATTCCAACATCTCTTTTCAATCTATGATGCCAATATACTCAGCAATAACATGCACATGTACAGTGGATGCTGTTAAAGCCTGGAGGCCAGAGGTACCTGTAGTAGCACTTCACAGGGGGATTCTGTAGCAGGATGTTCTAACCCAATAATACCTAGATCAGAGAATGCAAACAATACAAGCTCTCATGCAACTTCTGCTGGCACCAGGGTGCTGTTTTGGTGTTGAATTGTGCTAAAACCAGCCTGGTTCACCAAACCTCAAACACACATCCTGCTT